CAAAACCCAGGTTTACGTGAGGCAGATAACTTTGAGCGTTATCACCAAAGGGAACCTGGGGATGTGAGTTTCTATTATGAATGGTGTCTTCACTAAGATTCACAGAAAGCTGGTTCAGGAGGACAAGTGATAAAAAGTTTCAGAGTCTGCTCTCCACTTAAGTAGCACTATTTAAATTCAAACCTATGCCAGATAAAGGTTTTATAATGACATACATAATGTTATATATTAAGGCAATGTACAGTGATATGAGGTCTACACGGTAGAAGAGTGGTAATTGGCTTTGCCTGTGAGAGAAACACATGGACGGTTGTTGTTGGAAAGATCCTGTCGTACTGATGACAATTCGTTATCCACTGTAAGATTAATGCTCACAAATCGACCATAAAACACTGAGAATTCAACCCAGGCACAAACCCACTGTGACTCACCATTCACTCTAGACTGGAACAATGTTGCAGGAGTTTCCACCCTGGCTGGGCCATTATGCAAATATAACTACAACAAATCCAAGGTATGTTCAAGTTTATCTTTCAGAAGAATTTGTTAAAATACAAATGGAAATGGAGAGAACAGCTATGCCGTACTATATATATATAATTAATGCATTAATGCCCACATTCAGGGCATGAGCTGTTCTGGGGTAAAAAGAAAAACAAGATGATTAAACAAGTTGAGTCGTGTTATGGACACGCCAACAACCAGCTGCCATCACAACTACGTTAGGAGAGATTTTGTTTCTTTTTCGGTCGTCTCACACCTGCTTTATGATTGAGTACAATCCAGATGTTGATGAAATGAGAGAGTGGTTGAGGTCAAGTCGTGGTCTGACCAGCACATCTGTTGTGGTACTGTGTACAGTTGTACACACACACCTACCGTTGCTATCTTTATTTTCATGACTTTAATGTACGGCCCTGTGCTGCAGCTGATGTCCACATGTCTGCAGGGTGGAGTGCAGAGGTTGAGAGGCAGCTGGGAGTGAGTGAGCACTTGTAAACCAACTGAATTCCTAGACGTCTATTGGAACATATGGTGGCCTTCAGGTAACAGGAGAAATCAAAGAGCCGAAGAGTATAAATGGTCCAATAAAGGTTGCTGGTACAACATAAGAGTCAAAAGTTTTCAACAGGGGGATTGGGTCCAATTTAGGTAAAATGTTAGCACCTTGCATAGATTTAAATTAAAAACATGTAAATATAAACCTGTGTATTATTTAAATGATTTAGACAGATTGTTTTAAAGGTACATTATTTACCTGACAGTAGGTCCAGTTTCATATAAACCTGGTCCTGGATTTGCCATCCTGGTCTATTGTGTAGATGCCTGGAAGAGAAAAAAAAACTTTGGTATTTTACAATATTTGTTGTTATGTTTATACATGTTTATGTTTATTTTACCGCCTCATGTTCCATCTTTGATCAGTTTAAAGTTCTGCAAACCAGATGTTTAGGCCACACACTCATGTAAGCATTGTTTAAAAAGGCTTACATTTTAAACAGGCCAATTAAACGGCACATAAACACTGGTGAGGGATCCATGCTGAACATATGTTCCGGCTCTAGAACACTGGGAACCATTTAGGTCAAGTTTGTCTTCAGTTCTGCTCATGAGAACAGAACTTGAAGAGGTGATCCCAGACTTTTACCAACAACCTACTCTTCCTATTTTTTTTTCTTTTTTTGTACTCCATCATAGCCTGTTGTTTCATAACCACTTTAACCACTTTAACTAGCGTTCAGCATAACAAATACACTTTGTTTTGTCGGGCAGCTAGGTTGACTCTGCACGGCCACAAAAATGTGACTTGGTTTAAAAGCATGTGTTTGGTGTGGTTTAACAAGAACCTATTTTAATGCTGTGTGTAAAACTGCATCACTTCCTCTGTGGCGAGGTTCCCCCGTGTTTGTGTGACTCAGATAGTGTGACTGCAGTAGGATGAAGCAGACCAGCAATCCATTTCAGGCCAGATGAGTCCACCTCTTCCTCTTCCCTGTCATACAACACTGTTTAAGGACCGACCATGACATCCTGGTCTTCAGACTTTAATATGATGGAACTTGTTTGAGAGTCCAGCTGTGGTCAACTGAAGTTGCAACTTCCTGTAAGAGAAAGAAAGATTATTGTTACCATAAAGGCTTGACATTTTCATGATACCTCTGACCTCTTCATACACTTTGTATCTATGTGTCTGTGCTCGCAGTCAGTAATTGTGTAACATTGTTTTTTCTACACTGTCATATCAGCAATAATTTATGATTCATAAGATTAAACTGTATTAAATTGAATGGATTCAATTGCGAAATACGCCCTGCTTAAGTGAAGTAATGTGACTTGTCATTCGTGGTGTGGGGGTGATGGAAGTTTTAAATGTGGCAGAGGTTTGACTATGTTATTGAACAGTTTTATGGCCAGTTTAACATGATTGTATCATAGATATTTAAATATTCCATCTAGGAAAATCAGTGACTTTATTGTTTAATAAATCATTACATAATAACTCAAAAACGGTTTATTTGAGTGGTCGTATTTTTACTCCGAAAAGAAGTGTAAGTAGCCTAGTGTAGCGTAGCCTAGCCTACATAAGCCTAGCAACAAGCAATCCATAAAGTTGAAAAGTGTTTGGAAAGTGTTCACAGTTCACTATACAACATAATGTAGTTATCAATTCAGAAATGTAAAATTATCAATGGCAATCATCACTTTAACCTTTGATTGGCCAGACTTCAAATATGTTTCATTTATAACGAATTTGTTGTGGACCTGAAAATTTTGATCGTTTTCTGCTACATTTGTATGTTTTTGGTTCAAACTTTTTTTGGGGGGGGGGATCTGTCCTAAGTTAATGTATTATTGAACAGACCTTCTAGTCTAAAGTATTTTTCATTTAAAAACAACATAAAGTCTCAAAATCTCTCTGTTCTGTCTGAGCTTCTCATAAAGAAATGTTGAGATTTTCCAAATGTCTGAAAGTTATTAAAGTGTTCAGACAATGTGAATATTTAATGTGGTTTGACATGTGATATTTAGGAAGTGTTTTTCTGGGAACAGCCAGGATGGGTGTGGGACTAATGCTGTGGAAAACCAGGATTTTGATGAAAGAGGTGGAATTAGTGGAAATGATCTGGGGCGAGGCATCATGTTTCCTACTGTCACTCAGGTTTGGATGATTGCCAAAGACTTTATTTTATTCACAAACTCTCCTCTGTTTAAGTATTATATCTAGATTACAACTATATTTGCCAAGTCAGGCCCATTCCTTTCAAACCAAAAGTTACAAAACACGTTTTTACATTGAACTAAAGTTACAGATTCTTCCTTAGGAAATGACAGGGAAAAGGGGGAAATTACACAGTAGAGCAGAATACATTTTACAAATATTTTTGAAAACCAAACTGGATCACCCACTGAAACAGCACATTGGCAACAAATGGGAGAAGAAGAAAAAAATCCCTTTTAAAAGGAAACATTTTCCAGCAGCTCCAGACTCAGACTGTTCAGCCAACTGCCTTGGCAAAGAAAGAAATGCAAAAATCAGGGGGAGACAGCAGACGGGAGATAAATGATGATGGGGAGAGAACAAGCAGGGGCAAGTACAGTCACACTGGCTGTTAATGGCGCCTCCTGAGGCAGCTTTGGTGAGTTGCACTGCATTGAGTTTCCCCATTGTGGGATAAATAAGGGACTATTTTATATATATACGTGCGGTCAGGGGAGGCAGGGGAGGTAGTGCCTCACCTGCCATCATCATGAAAAAAAGTACATGAAATAAATATAAATATTTTCCACTGATCTGTGTTAAAATATGCATTTTCAGGATGACTGAGGTAAAAATCATCAGATTTGAGTATTTTGCAATCAAAGACAGGGCAGAAATCCCGGGTGAGGCACCACATCTGAATGTGTGATCCAATACAACTGATGCTCGCTTGGATCCGCAACCGGAAATAAGGACCGCACAACGTATTCCTACTTCCGTTATACAAACGTTCCAATATCAGCGCGCCCCTACAATTGACCGCTGACATTCACATTCCTTTTTTTTTTTTTTTTGAGTTGAGCTTTAAAGCTGCCCACTGCTCCCCTTGTTAAAAGCAGAGGCTCAGTTTTGTTGTATCCTCGTGGTACAATGACAATACAGACCATAAAATAAAATAAATATATATATTTAGACTTTCTGTTATACATATTCAGACTTTTTGTATATATAGTCAAGGTTAATTTCCTGAATGGCATGCATAATATATATATATATATATATATATATATATAGTGTCAACAATGACATTACAGTTTATTATGGACTATTCTTCTATTCCATTTCTCACAACATGTCCCTTGTAGATGCCACTGTTACAACACACTCTATATACTGTATGTGAACTATTAACTGGAGACACCCACTGAGTCTAAGTACCAGACCATGACAAAGCTGCTAATGGCATTTTTTTTACTTCCTGGACGGAGCTGGAGTGGGGGTGATGAACTAATGAATCAGGACTTCAACAACTACCAGCAGTGTTCTCCACCCTCCCACACCCACCCTCGGAGAAAAAATGTTGATCCCTGCTCCCTGGTAATAAACTGTCTGTCCACATAAGATGGATGAATGACGCAGATTATGAATGAATGTCCTGTTTGTGATTCTTGTCCCATCATTTCAGGGACATTCAGTCCAGACGAGGCTCAATAATTCTTTATGAATCATATCGGAGGAAACTGTAAACTCTGACCATAAATTACTCAACACAACTTGTTGTTGAGGTTTGTGACGACTGAGAAATTTCTCATTTAAAGCTACCGCGCCTGGCACAGAACCAGAGCGGAGCACAATGAGCTGTTTCATTGTAATCCCTGGTTCTGAACCTTTGCTGCCAGCACAAAGGCCTGGTCCTTCTCTGTTATGAATGATTCAAAGTCACATTTGTTTTAAATAGAGTGTTTATCTCTGCTAGCTAAATCAATTAGCTGATCGCTGCAGTACAATTTGTTCCACGACTCAGTCTAACATGATCAATCAAAAGTGTAAAAGAAAAAGCAAGAAAAATGCTTTAAGGACCATAAGCAAACATGAATCATTCAGGAAGGAACCACTGTAATGAAGTCAGTACTGTACCAGAGTAGCACGTTTCACTGACACTTAAGGTTAGCTATTAAATTCTGTTCTCATTAGAACTTCATGTACTGCTGTCTAATCATTTTCAAGGGTATGCTGGGAGGGAGGGAGGTGGGAGATGAGCAGCCATTCACACTCACATTCACACCAGACTATCCAGAGTGAATGACAGAGGTTCAGCTTTTGCAGGGCAACCATAACATGCAAATAAATTCTGATTATAATATTTTCTTCATGTGTGCCACACTGGAAACAATTCACTGATTTATCATTTTATCTCTTTGTTAGTAGCAGAATAGACGAGCAGAAAATAATATGGTTCAGTGGATTCTGTCGAGTTAAGGCTCAACTATATAGTTTTTGAAACAGCTACTGTAAGACAAAAGCAAGAACCATTTATTACAGTGCTGCCCTCTGACTAGACTTCAGCCTTTATTGTGTTACAGCCTACAGACCTTTAACAATGTACAACACAGAAGAAAAGTCAGGAGGCGAAAGATGCAGGCGATGGTATCTATATGAGACAACAATCCAGTCAAGCTGAGTGAATAAACCACATTGTTTGTCCCTTGAATTGCCATTTTTCACTGGTCTGTACAAATGAAAATATAAAAAAAACAACAGAATATAGAAAACAAGGAATATAATGGTTGAAAAAACACTTGCTCTAAACCTCATATAAATAACAGAGAAAACTACAGAGGCATTAAATATTCACAACTTTACATTACAATACAGTGTAAATAAAAATAACATATATATTATATAATATAAAAAGTGCTGTTTCACTGCTGGAAGGATTCTGTATTAATTCTGACATTAATCTGGAGATTTGGTTTAGTGCCATTGGAAGTGCAACAACTAAAAAACAGCAAATTCACTTCTTTTCAACTCTGTTACAGTTTCCTGGCACATCCTTCCTGGTCACAGATGTTCTTTAACTGATAGGAGCTGTTCCAGACCTGGTGTTGACAAGAAATGAAGAGAAAAAAAAAAAAACCCATGTAATTCCTATAAAGTTGCAGAAAAAACATGTTTTATCAACTATAGTGTAATATTTAAAGAATTACTTTATTGATCTCAGAAAATTACTGTGTGACAAGGGTAAGTCAAAAAGTTCCAAGAATATTTTGAAAGAAAAAAAATAACTTTATAATATATATTTAAATCTTAACAAATCCATCAGTGAATTCCTTCTTTCTGGACAATATCCTTCACACCAGATCCACAAACTGCTTGTGATTTCTAGATGGCGCTAGATCAAAACTTGTTGCAAAGTGTGAGGGATTTTTATAGGTTACAATTCATGTTTGGTTTAAAATATGCTTTTTTAATGGTTAAGGGTTTTAAAAAAATCTCGATCAAATTAAATGTCACAACGCACAGGGTAATGAATAAACCTGTCCAAGCTGATGGAGACACAAAAAAGAAATGTCCTCACATGTGTAAATGATTAAAAACAGACCCCTGTGACATTAGGACATTCGTCTAGGAACTTTATGACTACTCTTGTATTAGTAAACTGAACTAAATTTTAGTGTTTGTATTCTAATGACATAAGTACTGTAATAATTCCTAATCATTATACCATTATATGGTCCAAAGCTCAATTATATACACTTAAATCCGTTTATTTTAGCTTTTATTTTACATTTTAACAGGTATTAAATATGTATTTGAAGTTACTTTCTATGTTTTTAAATAGGAATGAATACATGAGTTGACAAATACCTGATTGAGGAGGACAATCTAAAGATTTTGGAACTGTAATAACTCCGGCTTCAGGTCTTCTCTGGTGTCATATGAGCTATAGTGTCACCAAATAAGGAGTTTGTGTCAGCATTGTTCAGTAATGTTGTTCTTTTGTTTGCTGTTAAAACTTCATCCGTCTTTAAGTTGCATAATTGACAAGGATTCTGCCATGTTAGTGTTACAGTTACCGTATTTTCTGGACTATAAGTCGCTGGTCCTGAGTTTTATACTCCAGAACGACCTGTACATCATTAGATATCATAGATAACAGTAAAGTCATATTTTCAGTTTCTTTCATTCAACTGTAACAGTAGGAGAGGGAATGACTTACGTTAGGCTAACTAGACCAACTCTTACGTTATCAAAATAAACCCCACAGCATATACGGCCTCCAGATGGCACTGTCTACACTTCTGGATACTACTGAATACTACTACAGCACCGCAGAAAAATAGCAATAACAGTACTGGAGCACCAGAAGGAAAACTAACTGACCAACTGGACCTGATGCTACTTCTTGTACATCTTCAGCTCAATTCAATACTTCAATACCACTAGGTGGCAGCACTTGGTTATAAACTAAAACAAGAGAGATATTCACAGCTGTTAAAGAAGATCTTTGTGTGTGTCTTTCTTCAATTCTTATTCGCACGCTTTTTTTTTTACTCTAGACAAACACTTTTTGATGTTTAGTCTGGAAAATACGGTAACATTCAACTTGGCTTGATAAAGAATGAGGCTAGTTATGTTTTTAAAGATAAAGAAGCATGGTTAAAGGGAGTTTTGATTTGTTTTGATAGGGAAACGCAGGAAAATATAAAGTTAAAAATGTAGAGGTTATCACATAAATAATTCTTCACTCTCTGGATCTACCTAGCTTTTATTTCTACATTGTTTGAGCTTTAATGTTTTAAACCTGGGACGAATTATTTACCTCGACACTGACTTTTACGTCAGAGCTAGTTATGCAGTGTCAAAGAATTTCCTGTCAACTTCCCTTATTCCTCATGGAAACAAAGACATTGAGATTTCCTTAAAGAGGCCAAAAGCCATAAACATGAGGCAGAAAGTGAAGCTTGTGCACATTAGGCCTGGTGTTAGTTGACTGGTGCATGGTGCGCTGCTGACAGAAAACGTGCTAGTGTGGAGGTGAACATTTAACATGGTTAACTAAACAAGGAGTGGGGCGGGAGAGCAGATAAGGCAAACAGAAAAACACAAAAAGGAAGAATCCAGAATAAAGCATGCAGAGAGACTAGAAAGTTACTTCTCACCCTTTTCTCCTTTTCAGAAACTTGTGTAAAAAGAACATCAGTATAATTGCAACTGTGAAAACAATAAAATAGAAATTTACTACTGTTTTGTATTTTTAAAAACATTTTACAATTACAGGAAACAAGGATTGAAGAATAAAAAAGAACTTTACCCAAAGTCACGGAAATCACGGATATCACTACAGGCACGTGTCCTAGAAAAAAAACAAAACAAAACAAAAAGTCAAAAGTAGAACAAAAACAAAACACTTTACAACAATGAGGGTAGGAGGAAAAGGTTCCAAGACAAATGTCATCTGATGTTAATGACTTCACCAGATTCAGACAGGTCTCTCATGTCTCTCCAACAGCTTTGACAACTTTTGTCATTACGTGTTTGATGTTTTCAAATATTTAGCTCGCTAAAATAAAGATTAGAAAAATAAGAATTTGTTGAGTGTCGAGCTGTGTTACCTTTTAGGTGATCTTGTATATGAACCCAGAAAAATGAACCATTTTCAAGTCAAATCTTAAACCAAACTTGAACGAATACCTGTTCCTCCAAAACGTTACAAAGAAGGAATTCTCTGATGGAAACATGTTTAGACTTAAATAAAGGATAGACACAGTAATTGTTTTTTATTTTGATAATGAAATAATTTTTCCCATTTGTCTTAGAACTTTTTTGAGGTATCAAAAAACTTGCCCATGTCTACACTGCTGTCCACAGCACCGTCCTGTCTACCTGCAAATGAAACGCAGTATAATTCAGTGTATATCAGTATAATGGCAATTAAATGGCAAAACAACCTGTTCAACGTGTAGAATTCAACATTTTCTTGGATTTTATTAAGAAGGGATTAAATATAATGAGACAAAATGATACAATTAAACAACAACAATAATAATAACAATAATTATAGTAGTATTGTTATGCATTTGTTATTTGCATGCAACACAAGAGAAGACTCATTAAGAAGGTCAGGCCTTTTAATGTGTACAAAAAAATTTAAAATGAAAAGCCATCTATCTCTACCTCGCAGTGACAGTGTTGTTGTTGTAGGTGCACTTGTAGCACTTTTACTGGTGGTTCTATCATCAGTTGTCACAATGCCACCTTTGAACAACAGGATGAGAGTCACTGACATTCATGCTTGAATCTGGAGACAATAACTGTCCTCCTCAGGAACGAGACTGTTTCTGGACATCAATCAGCATGTGCATCCAGTCATGCGTTTAAGGGCAGAGTCCAATGCTAATGAGCCTACTGCAGTCTTATTAACAGACAGTGACCAGTGTGTGCTGTGAAGCCTGTTCACGTACCTGGTGGGACAGTTCCACTGGTCGTAGTAGTCTCATATCCTTGACTTGTTGCAGATATTGTGGGTACATCTGTGGAAGTCAACACTGTCAAAATAAATCAACAAAAAAAAATAATCATTTTTTACTGATGTGTGTTTGTATGAAGAACCAACACAGTCAACAGCGGCTGCATTTGTTGCCTGTGACAAATACTTATTTCCTCTTCTTTGACTACCTTATTAGTACACAAGGTTCTCGGTTTACCACGTCCTCCACCTACAACGTTTGTGTTTATGTCGCCATCACCCATAAATTTATTAAAAAGTCTTGTCCATCATTCGGACATAGAGCATTAAGACTCGCCAACCAGTTTGCACGGGAACTAGTTTGTTTCAAAAACTCACCCCAGAGACGACTTGTTGATGTCCTTAAAGAGGACAAAGAGATACTTGGTTGAACAGTAGAGGAAGCACAGGGGTGAGAAGGAGGTGAAGGAGCAGCTGTGGTGCCCCCTGAAGGGAGAAAGGGAGGAGAAAAGGAAGGAGAAGAGAAAGAAGATATGGAGACTTTGGACGAGACCAAGATTTTCAGTAAATGTCAGCTGAAGTCACACGGACTGTGTGTCAGTTTCTCAGTTTCCCCAGACCATCCATAAAATATACATGAATATGAAGACATAAATAATACCTTGGGCTGAGGTTGTATTTGTCGTATTTCCGTCTCCAGTTGTTCCAGCCACAAATGAGACTGTCAAAAAACACAGGTATTGATGAAGTTGGCAGTTCTCCTCATTACAACCTGTATCATCATTAGAAATGTGTGGTATATCTGGACAATAAATAGAAGGGATCTTCACAAAAAACATGAAGAGTATCTAGTCTATATCTGGCCTTTACTAACTTCATTTGTAAACACCTTTATTCATTTTATATATAAATGGTTTAATGTAGTATGTAAGGAAAATTGTACAATATCTACACAAACTGGCAGATATTGTACAGTGTACCTGTCTATATATCAAAACATTAGTATCATTTAAGCTTCAAATATTGACTTTTTTTGCTCTGTGTCTTAAAAGTCTTAAAATAAGCCAACAACTTGTGGTCCACAGATTATTCACCACATACCTTTGCATTCAGGAGGCCCAGAATCATAGTCACCTCCTTTACCACACCTGATGCTGCTGTTGCCGACAAGTGTGTACCCTTCATTACACACATAATGGATGTTTTCTCCATATCTGGGTCCGTCCTGAGAATCCCACAGACTTCTGCCGTGGGCCACTACAGCAGGTTTCTGACACGTCACAACTGAGGGGCAAAACCAAACAGGAAAATGTGTTGGTTTTTAGGAGAGGTGTGTTCTGGTTATTTGAGTATGATTAAACATGCTGCCTTTATAAGAACACTTGTTGCTTGCGTGTTTTTTTTCCAAAGGTGAGAAGAATTAGGTGTGCATTTGGGAACTGTTGTCTTAGACGATTTTAAAGTGATTTATATCCATAATCGATTCTTTAAACATTGTAAACATTTAAACATCATTCACCTTCACATCTTGACGTTCCAAACCAGCCTGAGAAAAGACACTGTTTGAAGCTGGAACCACGGATCTGGTATCTTTTGGGAAATTAAGGAAAGATGAGGAAGAGTAGTTTATATAAGATGGAAGAATTAGAACTGTGATTTCATCCCCAAGTTTAAATTCCTGCACAATTTCGTCCAGACTGCTTATATCAACACTGTTCACGGGCATGGAGAAACAAGAGCAACTAATCAGTTAATGTATGAGGTCACACATTCCGACAATGCCTCTATTTGTCTTTCAAGACTATTTTTCTTTTTTAAACATATTACGTAATCCAGCCCGTAATTCATACAGTTACAGGCTGAAATACTGTACCACATATTCTCCTTTGAAAATACAGCCTGTCTAATCAGTTCCAGAGATACTGTATATGAAGCAATATGAAAACACATGCAACCTCACACCGCTGTACTCACCCTTCATCACAGGTGACCTTAAGATGATTACCAAACAGAGTACCCTCACTGGTGTTGAACCTCATATGAGGCTGAGGTTGAGGGAGACCACAGTCTTTCTCTGAAACATGAAAACACCCAAAGAGCTGCTGAGCTGCTGCACCACTGTTTGAAAACACACACAACTAGGGCTGTGCCAAAATATCGATACTACAATACATCACGATATTTCATCTTGCTGTAAATGTATGGTTGAAATGCATTGCTATATATCAATTACCACAGAATCGCAGTGTCGTGATAATCGTTACCATAGCAAAATATGATGATAGTATCATACCGCAAGGTACCTGGTGACACCCAGCCCTACATACAACCAAGAAGGCTACAAAGTGTAGATATTAGGACTCACTTTTACACCTCAAGTCGAGGGCACTCCAGTGTCCACTGATACATTTTGATACTCCTGAGCCACTGTCTATCGTGTAGCCCGAAGCACACTGAAAGGTGACTTCAGAGCCTTCTGGGAAGTCATTCAATAGAAGTGTTTCGCGTGTAAAGACAATGTTTTCACCTCCTGGATGTTTCGAACACTGGGCTGGAGAAGGAGGAATGAGACACAGAGCAAATATCACTAGTGTTCAATGATATTGTCCACCTTTAGGATATTAAACTGTGAGTCACATCTTTAAAAAAAAAGGCTAAATGTAGATGTGATTTTCAGATTCAGAAAATCTTGTTAACAGCATGTACATATGGCCTGAGGTTATAAATCTTAAATCTAGGTGGAAGGAATTCTATAAATGATCACATTTTATTTATCTAATTTTTGACAATATTTACTTATTCATTTGTCATTCTGATTTCTCATCGTAATTTTTGATTCTGAATAAAACAAAACTTTTATAATAAATAACAATCCAAGAGTCAGTATTTCTTAATTTAATTAATTCATTTAGTAAATTCTTAACTTACAGTTCTAGTTAAGTGTAAGGTTTAGTGGAGTAAAGTAAAATGAAGTACAGTAAGATTTAGTTAAGTAAAGGAGCAAAGTAACAGAGTAATTAAAGAATAGACAAATAGTAAATAGTGTCAAATAAAACAGAAGTGTAATTTGGGAAAATAAAGTAAGTAAATAACATAAAAAATAAAGTAATAAAAGAAGTAAGGTGAATTATAATCAGTAAAATAGGCAAAAAAACGTAAGTTAGTACGTCAGTTCGCTATTCTATACAACTTTATACACCTTTTCTTCTTACTTACTTACTTCTTTTTCAAATGTTAAGACGGTAATGCTATTACTACTGTTACTACTATTACTACTACTAAGTACTGCAGTTTGCATACGAACATTAATGGTTTAATTGCTTCTCTTTAGGCTAATTATATATAAGAAATATCTATTTTTATAATATTTAACTATAACACTACTGCAGTTATGCCTTTTTGTTTTTAATTTCTCTGGTAATTCTCAAGTTACTGCACTTGACGTTCTTTCAGTTTGTTGTCTGTAAATAAAAACTGCAAATCTAACTCTGACACTTGCTGATGATAAATACAATCTCCCTCTGCAGACACTGCCGGGCTTTACTGACCTGCTGCCTTCAGGACAAACAGATGAAACAGCAGCAAATATGTTCCACAGGTGTCCAGGAGAACATCCATGTTGATGGAGAGAGCATATAAAAGAGCAGATGCCTCTTTTCCCCCCTGCTTCTCTGAACTTTAGTCCAACAACTTCTGCGACTACAGCGGTTCGGCGGCTTCTTAACTATGCAGATCACCCAGTGCTCCTCCCACTTCTTCTGAACCGTCAAGTTAGAATCAAAAAGACAATATATAATCAAATATTTTCACAATCAAATAACCTCACACGAGAACGCTGCACTGTTGCAACTGAAAAAGATCCGAGACTAATGTATATATACCAGAGCTAAAGTATAAAAAAATCGGGCAACGGTCGGGTCAAACCCTGGCTAGTTTACCAGTTACCAGATATATATGGATCTATATTATGTTTTGGTTTTCACTCTAGTTTTATTTGATCAGATGTTGAAAGGTGGGCGTAGATCAGCATGTAAAACAAGCATACCTTCACTTTGTAAAGTACACGGTTTTATTTTGAAAGGTATAAACGGGTGAGCGTTTGTTCCGGACACTTGCTAGAATTCGTCGTCAACGCATTTTGAGGTTTCTGAGGAGGTTTAACTGGACTCGTGTCGGAAACCTCAGTCAACAACACAAGACGAGTCATAAGTTATGAAGATATCAATTGCGCAATAATAATAATAATAATAATAAAATACAAACAAATGTTAGGGTTGATTTAGGTTCAACAAAAAGTTTATCTGGCGATAAAAGACGTTCACTGGTTTCCACCTTCTTTTCTATGGCAACAGTGTGGGAAAACAATCAGCTGTTTTGGGTGTATCCTGGAAAAAGGGGGTAATTCCTCTTTGGGTCTCCTGATGTTCAGCCTTCATCTATTCTATTCTGTTAGCATGGTAATATCAAGATGCAACAGTGATGTTTTTTTCTCCTTTTTGGTTTTGTCGCCTGAACAAACTGAAAAAAAAGTTTTTCTAATTTTGCTTTTAAACCATCCTGATCCTGTCCATCCTTGTCACTCCTAAAGAGAATCTTAGCATCTTTAACAACATATGATATAATATTTATTTAAAAGACACCTTATTAGTGGTGGCCATGCTGGGTACTACATACCAAAAACGTTTTAGCAGCCATCTCCTTCTAAACGGGCTTTAAAATGGCATAACAAGATGTGATTAGCTCTGGGCTAAAACACTAAAACACAGAAAAGTAACACAAAGTCCACGAGTGGGTGAATTTCAGAGAGTTCTCTCTGGCAGTCATTTACAGCCACATGCGTTTGTTGAATCGGGGCGTCACGGTCCTCCACCCAGAGTTGCCTAAGAAACATCATTGAGAACCCTGGCAACAAGAAGCTAACAGAATGTGTCAGAACCATGTCTGAATCATTGTTCATTGGTTGAGTGTTTTGTTTAACCAGTGGAGATGTATAATGTTTGGCTACCTGTCAAACAATAAAATGTAATGAAAGAAAGTAAAAAAAAAGTTACACATGCTCTGAAGAGTTTGTGAAAAGTGTATCTCCTTTTAAGGCCTTTATAAAGCAAACATTCAGAGGTAACAAATGAGAGTCCGCTAAGGAAACACATCACATCTTCAGTGCCTGATGGGTAGCGGCACTGCCTGCTCCTCTTATCTCTCCAGCACCTTGTCCAAATTAACCACTGGACAACTCCCTCCTCGGTTACAGTGTAAAAGAATGTGTCTGTTTCTCCTCATGTCAGATAAAAGGAAGAAGGTTCTATTCCTAGCATTAATATTCACATTGTTCGTCTGTTTTTGTTGTTTTTCTGTCACTGAGGTTAAGCATGTTTTAGGGAAGTGTTGGAGGAAGAACGTTCTCTGTGCCTCTGTTATGGGGAGTTTGCTCAGGCCTTTGCCTTCTATACACAAATTAAAATTGTAATTATCTCATAATTCCCACCACAACAACTGGATGGTATTTATCTTCTTTGTTTCTTTCTGTCTATGGAGCAAAAACATCTTGGAAAATAAGACAGTGTTGACTAAAGAGAAATATATATATATATATATATATAAATCAAGTACAACTATGTGTTTGACTACTTCGTCTAATAATACCAAAACAGAAAAATCACCAAAACAATACGGACCCCTATCAAAAATATTTGGTCATTAGATAATAAGCAGTTTTTAAAACTAATTATAAAGCAGTTTCGTTTTATCAACACAGAATAATTACGTATTTGATTCTTATTCTTCTTATCTTTCTTCGACCACGTGTTGAGATTTCTTCACTGTAAGTGACCTCTAGTGGACATCTGTATTTATTGCAACTATCTGATGTAGACGTAAATACTTTAAGACCGACAGATAAGGGTCATAGACAGACAGATAGACAGGTAAACAATGTAACCTGTATAATAAAATCCTCTTGAATGGTCATCAGAGCAGTTACCACAGAGATGGATAGTGTTCCTATTTCTGAACTACAGCCACCAAAATAGAACTTCACTCAGTTATTAAACCACACGCTGCTCAGTGTGACCATTTACACCTGCCCATCTCTTACCTCTAATAAGACAGCCGAGGATGTCTTACACCAGGGGTGCCCAAACTGTTCCACAAAGGGCCGTGTGGCTGCAGGTTTTTGTTCCAACCAAGCAGTAGCACACCTGAGTTGACAGGTTTAATCAACTGGTCTCAGTCTTCAGACAGCTGATTGGTCAAACTGTGGTTGGTTGGTTGGTTGCAGCCACACGGCCCTTTGAGGAACTGTTTGGGCATGTCTGTCTTACACAAACCAGGGTCACTCCAAAACCAAGGGGCTCCAGCAACTTAAATACACCACATGTCAGCAGTGCCTTGACCTTGGGCCCCTGCAGTCGACGAAATTATTTGCGCAAATGGATTAACCTCATTATATTTGATTAAGTGTGCATTTCATTTCTTATAGTTAGGCCAGTGTAATTTCTAATAAGAATGTGTGATTTCAGTCCAACCACCGTGCTTTCATTAACGCCGTGGAAATGGTGAACACCCAGGATTGGACATGATGCATATAAGAAGTACAATGCCTGCTATATACAGAGGAAATCACAGAGCTGCCATGACAACTGGACTTCTGCCATGGCAACAGCAAGTGTCTGAGTGTAACGTGCAAACCGACTCATCGATACGACAGCAACATCATTTCCACTTTGAAATCTGAATTTGTTTACAGTACAGTTCAGAACTCTTCACGAGTGTTTTTCAGCAAAACTTTATTTTATTTTTCAGTGCATGAACAGAACAACATGTCGAGCTCACAGCCTGTCTTTTAAAAGTCAATTTTAAATATTTTTTCCTTTTTTCCTTAAAAAAATAATGGAGCGATATAATATACCTCTATTTTTTTATTTATTTTTTTTGTCTTAAACTTTTTCTCTCCCCGGAAAAGCACGCAGTAAAGTATTTATAAAGGTGCTGTACAATGTACAAACATGTATAGTACATCTACTACCTACGTACAGGATGTAAAAGATAGCACAAGGATGTTCTCTCTAATGAAGCGATGCAAGGCCACTGAATGATACAAAGGTGAAATAGGAAAGAAAAGTGGAGAAAGAGAATGAAGAAGAAGAGGAAAGGGAGGAAGAGGAGGAGGAGGAGTAGGCCATCCTCTGATTCTGGACCAGAGAGACCTGCCGGTACCTAACACTCAGGGTTGGATTTACTCCATCAACCAACCACACTATTGCACAGAAACTCACCAGGGTCTGATTGACAGCACATCCACTAGTGATTCTGAACACAGTCCCAGAACAAGTCTAGCAGTGCTCTGCTGGTTCTGGTAGTAACTCGGTGTGAATGGTCGAATAGGGCCAGATTTTCTTTGCAATGTTTTTTAAATATTTGTTGCTTTTTTTAATATCTTCTTCAATAAAACTTTATTTCAAGTTTATAAAAAAAATGTGATCCCATTGGGATGAAATCAAAGATAAAGCATGGCTGTTGTGGAAAAAAAATCCAACAGTATTTAATAAAATATTTCTTTACCTTAACCTTTGTTAATCTTAGACTTCCACGCACACAGAGTTACTGTCCCATCATGTCCACTTCAAACTCCAGGACTTCACTGATGTCAACGTCCCTTTCTTCTATGCAGTCCATGTTTCTACCCCTAAAATCTCACTTCTCCACTGAGACCTTGCCTGACACTCGTACACTCTTTATCACGTATTTGCGCGATACAGCGTTCCCTGAGCTCATCTGGTTATTAATGTTCCAGGAGGTTAGATAAGTGTGGCTAATCAATGTTATCTACCCTCACTGATGTTACAGCAGGAGCTTGGCTGTCTTCAGATTAACAGCCAAGTTTTAAATGTATGTGTTTTGTCTGCAAATGCACTTGTTCATCTTAGCCATTTAATTTAATCTTCTGTACAGGAACAGTGTCTATGACTTAGTGGTGAGGTTGCATACTGCAGCTACTTAAATATATATATTTTTTGTAAACACAAACACTAAATATAGTAAAACGATACGATCCTTAGTTTTCTGGCATTCTGGCAAGTTCCTCTTGAATTCTCAGCTACAGATTATTTGACACACTGGTCCTTTACAAAAAGAAAAAAAAGAACATTTTTAACTCTCAGGATTTCTGTCAAAACCAACACAACTCTATACTCCGTAACTCTTAATGTACTCTGACAATCGGTTGCACAACACGAAGGACAATTGCACATCTTTATAATCGTATTTTTTGACGTTCTGGATAGGATAAAGTGAAAGGTCCGCAGGCCTGATGCAAATGTTGCACAGTATTATATATATTATCCACAATCTGGCCTTGGATTATAATAATCTTAGAAAACAAAAACAGCTTTAGAGAGAAGTAAGAAAAAACATCATAATATGAAAATCTTAGCAGAAGGACAACAAGTCCACATCACAAATGTAATAAGACTCATGGTCATTCTGTTATTCTGTTGTTGATATGCTATCAGGGCAGATGCAGTGCAATAAAAAATGCAAGTCATAAAGTTCAGAGACAGGTCTCTCAGACGTCTTCAACAGCTTTAAAAGCATTATGTCTTTATCCAGTGTTGAACAACTTTGATTGATCACATTTTCAACGTTATAATGTGAGAAATTCAAAATTCAGTGCTTACATTGTTTTTTTCCCACCAAATAAAAAAGAATCTATGTTAAATAGAAACCCATCTTTCACCCATCGCAGAAGCCAATGTCTTAGAACTTTTTGACCCGATATAAATACAGTATATATATTGGGCTATCAGAACTGAAGGCTGATACGGATTACTAACTCTTTGAAGCTAAACTTTCTGTTCAACTTTAATATATTTTACTTTATATCTTTTTCCATATTAATAATTCCATCTTTTGGATTAGTTACATGATTAATCATTGTTGTTAGTGATTAATCAATAGCTACTATGTGTTGTTGTTTGACAGCCCTAATATATATACACACACATATATAAATATATGTAAGTTTATATATGAGTATATATATACATACAGTATATATATACATATATACCTATTTACGTACATATATACACATATATGTATTTGAAACACATTTTAAGTATTAACAAACCTATGCCCAAGTATTAGCGAACGTATGTCTAAGTTAATGCACGCTAACTATACGTTTTACGGCCTACAAAGACCTGCGGTAACTCCTACCACAGTACACTGGAAACGAGCTGAAAAGTTCAACTGGGATGAATCTTTGAAGTTGTTATCAAAATGTGGAATGGTTTGGTACAGCTACATATAATATATATATATATATATTTATAGTATCTATCATCGTAGTAAATGACACACTGGTCGTTAATATACACATGGTAAACAAGATCTCAATCCACAAGTTTCTGGTCTTTTTAATGATGCAGTTTGTTTGGAGACAAGTTCTGTCTGGAACTGTGGAAAAGTTAAAGGTCCCTGGTGAAATGAATGATTGCTGGGTTGTGTTTTTTTTTTTTTGTAACTGAATTTGCCCAATGCTCAGGACGGGAATTATAAAGTAGTAAAAAGATCATTCTCAGTGATGTGCAAAACACATGCAGTGAATCAGGAGAGGAAGAGGTTCATGCAGTTGAAAAAGAAAAGGAGCAGTTTTCTCCAGAATGACGGCAAAAGAGAACCTACATTTTGATCACAGGCAGGGCGAGGAGAGGTGATTCCGTCTCTGCATATGGAGCAATATTGCATTGCAATGAGTGACGCTTTGTTGGTAATGGTTGTTCCACAGGAGACGCAGGATCAGATCAGCAAGTAGCGTATTTACATTTTTTTCTTTTAAAGAAAAAGCTTCAAGCATGCCGCACGTGCTGGAGTCCCACAAAGGAGGATTCTGAAGCAGCGGACTAGGCAGGGGGCGCTGCTACATGCCACGTAGGACGTGTTGAATGACTCTGGAAAAAACAGATCTTTAGAAAAAATGAGATCTGCACGAGGTCCAAAGGTAATAAAAGTGGCACTGTGTTGTACTCCTCTGTTTCATGGAAGAATGCAGAAAAACAGCCTGCTAAAGGTATTGTCATATATCTAATGGCACAGCTCAAGTCGGATTCATATTCCATCATAACGGGTCACGGAATATTTCTTCCTGGGACAGGATTCTTGCTGAGCTCGGTACTTTCCACGGACCAGGGCTAATCTGACCCTGTGAGGCCAGTGTGATCCTTGGAATACTGTTCACAGAGGTCCCGGAGTCGTCTGTACTGCTGTTGTCTTTGTAATGAGACGAGACATCCTGTCTTCCTTTGGCCTCTCTCGGTTGAATGACAGAAACTTTTCTACTCTGTGTTTTTTCTGTGTCTTTTTTGTCCACAATCTCTTTACCCCTGGTGCACTGTTCCACAGATCTGCCCCGGCCATTAGCCTCTCTCTGCCCTGACTCTTTGCTTGAAGCTTTTTGGTTCTCTCTGACGGTACGAGGAGACGCTCGCAGATGTTGCGGTTCTCCAGCCAGTCTCCTTTCAAATCTTTCCGGTTCTTGCCTCTTCTTCCCGTCGCTCTGTACCATCTGCCTTTCTTTTGTGTAACCTCTAAGCTCAAGGCTCCGCTCTTTACCATTATTCTTCTCATGACTTAAGCTCTCTTTGCTGGAAGAGTCCCGTAATCTCCTCTGATGCTCTGCACGCTGCAGAGCTGAAGTCACTTGAAGCCCAGACTGAGGAGTTCCAGACTTCCTATTTTTAGCAGTTTCTATTTTTGTGTTTGTGTGAGAAATCCTGTTCCTACCTGCTGTTACCTCCCGACTCTCCGTCTTTGTCAGACTGAGATTTTGCTCTTTAGCCTCACGAACCGTCTCCCCTGTTTTCTTAAGTCCGCTAACGTCTCTGAAGTCCTTTATAGGCCTGGTCCTCTTGTAGAACTTTTTGTGATCGGGTGAGGTGGTAGGGGGACTGGATGTCTCCTGGTCGGCCCACTCACCACTCTCCTCTACCGAGCTCAACAGCCTGCCGTTGCGGGGTTTGAGGCCTTGCGGGGATGTGTTGTTCCAGCTGCGGGAATGCTTCGGTTTGCCGGAGAAAGGTGGGGACATGAGGTTAGAGGTGGTGGGGAATGGAGAGGTTAGGGGGGATGTGTCGGAGTAAAACACCTCACTGGAGCTGCTTGCGGGTGAAACGGCTTTCTGATCATGTCGACCTGTGTGGGAATCACAATCTTTATACAATATGTTCCAGAACAAAGGAGAAAACAACATGTAGTAGAGGCAAGAGGAAAGAAAGGGAGACATTGTGATTCTACATCAGAGGTCAGAGTATGCAGGAATAGAGAAAATTAGAATAAACCATATTATCATGCAAGTGTCAGTTATTGTAAGGGAAGACTAGAAGTGAATGGTCGTTTCCCTCTGTCTGCATTTTTCTTCTCTTGATCAAGAGGTTCTGGTTGGAAATGTTATGGGAATGCTGCCATCTGCTGGGCAAAAAAGCCCAGAAATACTACCTGAAAAACACTAGATGTTATTAATGCCAACTTAGTCTCCAGACTTTTGTGAATGATCTATTATCATGAATGTTTCCATAACTAGTTTTTATGACTAAAGCAAGATTGTTAATTTGAAAGTTTTCATTGTGAAGTTTATGGAACATGAGAGAATGTATTTCATTTTGTTAGACAAACAGCACCATAAATGATCAACTTTTTCTCTGTTTTGTTTTGTTAATTAAAGAATTAATGACTTTTAACCATGAACGCCACAGGAGCAGATTAATGCAGTAGCCCCGCCTACTCCGTGTTCACCGACATCTGTGACAAATTCCTGCGTACTCCACCTTTAAGAGACAGGGAAAGTTGCCAAAGAGAAGGATTTACCAAGGTGAAAGAGTAGAGGCCAGTAAATCAGTGAAGGTGTTAGTGTTGGTGCTCGGTGTAGTAGCATACAGTAGAGGAAGTTGTACTACCTGCATCAGAAGCAAGAACAGGAAGAGCCGTAAGGAAGCAGAGTGTTAATGAAGGCAGTAAAAAAACAATTTGGCTCAAAAAAAGAGAGAAGAAAATCAATGGACAAAACAATATAATCCATCCAACAGGAGAGCAGGTGAAACATTTCATTATATTTTCTTCCCTCCTGTTGTTAATAGGAAACATCGTGCATCAAACACAGCACTTTTGCTAATGCTAACTTTTGTTTTTGTGGATTTTTCTTCCTGACTGCAGATGACGTCAAACACAAATCAAAAGGTTTCATCTTCATATTTATTTTCCCGACATATTGTATTATATTAAACAATGTTAAATTAATAAATGAAAGTAAAACCTCAATCCGCAAATCATAAAACAGGTACTTACTGCCGTCCTGGGCCAGACCTGCTCCAGGTCTCAGCAGAAGAACCACTTTGTTTCCTCCAGCCTGGATCAGTTCAATTGCCCGTGTGTGAGAAATGCCGCGCGCCGGCTCACCGTTGATTTCCACAATTTCATCCCCCACCTGTCATGACATTTACAGAAATGATGTACAGAAGTGACATCCACTTATTGTAGAGTGAAAAATGGTTCTCTTTTTATCAGTAACACACACACACACAGATCTCAGTCCGTTAGGCTGTAATCAGCGTTGACATTCCCCAACTCCCATCAATCGTCAAAGTCACGCCCAGAGATCACAGACTGTCAGGACTCTGACTGAGTCTCGTCACAAGCCACTATTCTCTCTCCACTAATAATAATCATCATAATAATGACAGTCTCATTCAGTCTGAGCCTCAGCCCCCGACCGTCACCAACCACATGATCGCCCCAGTAATGGACACCCATTCACTCAAGGTCACTTCCAGTGTCCTTTAACAGAGTGAGGTACAATTTACATTCTTTTATGTTTGCCCAATTAAGGAGCCACAGTGTAAGAGGGTCTTGCCTTACAGCAAGGGTCACCTGTTTGATGCCCAGTCTTTCTCCTAGTGTGTTAGTTTAGTTACTCCAGTTTCATTCCACATTCCAAAAACCTCTATACATGTATTTATATCTAATGTATATCATACATAAATCTTCCAATTCCCCAGAACTAAAACATCTTCTTTTCCAGAAGAATTGATAGCGACCTGAAAGTGTGTGTGATTTTATGTGAATGTTCAATTTTAGTTATTTATTTAATTTTTTAATGAATTCAACTAACAATTAGGGTAAGAGTGGATTAAAGCGCACACACAAAAAAACTGCTAAAAGCATTACCGCAATATAATATCACACACTCTGCGCTGTAATTGGCAACTGCAATCATTGCATTCAATTAGTGTAATGTCTCCTGCAATCAGTGCTCACCAACAGAGACCACATTTCCCTTGATTTACCTGACAAAATCTGATGTAGCCGTATGCATACAAGAAAAGCAAACTGTGTGTAATTATGGTGAGCGAAGCTGAATGAGCTTCTTAACAATTCACCGATGGAAATTTAATCAAGTTTTACTGGGATAAAAACTGGTTTTTGATATTCTGCATTAGCTGCAGACCACAGGGAGGCGTATGTTTTATTATTACTTCATTAATGAATCCCTCCATATATGGAGGCAGGGGGTGGAGCAAGTATGCCTGAAGTATAGATGTGGTATTTAATGCTGAATGAGGTCATAATTAACATTAAGTTGAAATTACGTTGACTTAAACAGATGGATTGCGACTTGTGAGGAAAAATGTTCTTAGAACTTAGTGTTTAAAGTATTTATAGTTTATTTATTAATAGAAATACTGACATATGAGGAAGTCAAAGTCTCAGTTCTATGTTTTGCTCCGTCTTCAAGAGAGACATAAAAAACCTTTGTCTACCTAATGTCCTGCTTTTTTGTTCCACAATACTGACCAACATGTGACAGAACATGACAATAGATGAGTAAAAACAATTATATATGTATCAAACTGTACATACATACATATACGTATATGTATAATTAGACTCTGACTAATTTACTATTATGAATTAACAGTTGTCGTTGTGCTTCTTTTTAATTCATCTCTTCTCTGGTTTACAATTTTCAGTTGTTCTTACTGAACCTTTTCGAAAAGGATATTACTATCACGCCTGTCTACATTCTCCTCTAGTTTATGTAGTAATAACCCTGGGTCTGATGATAGAAACCCTTGAATCCTTAAATCACTTGTTTTGTTTCTGTCTGATATAACCAGTTAATTTCAGTTCTTTTTATTAAAGTTCTCTCCTTCTTTTTTCTTTTTCCTTTATAATTCTTTTATTTTTTTATTAATAACAAGTTCTGTTCTGATATAATTTCATAAAGCAAAAATCTGACACAGTATAACAAAAATATTTTCTTCAGGTTTTTTTTTTTAGGAGGATTAACTCTGCCAGAAAACACATTTCCCAGTACATGTTAGATATTATTATAAACTTTAAAATGAAAGAATGGCATCTATAAACACGACTGTGACAGAAGAACTCACATGGATTCTTCCATCCAGCTGGGCAGGCCCATCCTCAGCCAGTCGGAGAATGTACAAGCCCATGTTGTACTCTGTTCCTCCCCGCAGACTGAAACCAAAGCCCCTGGCACTTCTCTCCAGTTCCACAGTCAGACAACCCTGCCCAGAAGACAGGACACACAAACACAGTACTGTATGTCGGTGCCTCGTGAAGTTCAATAATGTTTAAAATAAAAAGGAATAGGTTGGCGCAGAGTATGGTGAAGGTAAACGCCTGCCTAAAACAGTACAGTACGAACCAGGGCAGCAGGCGGATAAACACAGCAATTTTCTCCTTTCATAGAGTTGTGGATTTTTTGGCTGATTACTGATAGACCTTTGTCTCCAGCAGCTTAAACCTGCAGATAATCTTTAAGACAACAAATCTGAGGATCTGAGGGATAAGAGGATTATTTTTACCTGGTTGGGTCCAGTCACACACAGCGTCCCGAGCTCAGACGAGGTGAGTCCGTCCCATTTCTCCTCTGAGTCGTGGTTAAAACTGAATGACACAGAAGATGCAGTAGTACGGGGTACTGTACGTATACTCTATGTATCATCATGTCATATACTGTAGGTTTGGATATAGAGTAAACTTTATTAAGAAAAACTTCATGTGAAACAAACCATTCATCCTGAAGTGCTGACCTTTGGCCTATGATTCTGTGCTGAAGAGCCGGACTGGCCTTGGCTGAACTGGCACCAGAGGGAGGGCCTTTGTACTCTGAAAAATTGGAATATTTGACTCAATCATAATATCACTAACCAATTTTGTATATATTATACATATAGTATGTATATAGGTATATGTATACTATATGTATAGGTATATGTAAGTATATGTATATATATACTGTACATATAAAATTGTTTTATATAATCACACACACACACACACGTATATATGGAAACACATGTATATATATAAATGTGTATTTAAGTGAATCCTTCCTAAGATTTCCTCCAGTTTTCATCTCAGACTCTGTCAGCAGAGAGCATTCATTTGTATTGACAGCACACACACGCCTGTTACTCACCGTCTTCAGGAATAACGGTGAGAGTGACAACATTGCCGGCTTCCTTGATAAGCTGAACAATGTCGCTGTGAGACAGCTCGATGATAGATTGGCCATTGACCGCTGAGATACGATCGCCGACATGGAGGAGGCCGCAGCGGTCAGTGGGACTGCCTTCGATGATTCGACCAATTTTGTGTGGTATAACTGGGAAGGCAAATGTCAGGTGGATTGAACAAAGTACCTTCAATGTATTTTATTGTTTTTTTGTCTTCTGAGGAGAAAAAAAAGGTGGCTTTGCAGAAACAATCAAATTTCTTTATATGCCAAGGTCTGGGGATTTATTTGTAACTTTATTTTTAAAGGTTTTCTCATCACACTTTTGATGAATAAAAAAATATGACACAACTACTTTCTCAAGGTTCTGAAGAGACCAGAGCACAGTTTTACTGCTGAGTGACTAAGATTTTCTCATCCATGGATGGAGGTCTATATTACTCCCAAGTCTGTACTTTAGTGTGGGTACAGTGTTCTTTGTATCACAGGCCTCTCCTTTCCTCATTCCAAAGTAGGCAACAACTCTATGATCCAAAAGATGTCCTCATATCTCTGCCCAAAAGACATCCTCTCAGAATGAGTCATGTGACCAATATGGAAGCTAACTGCTACATGAATGTTCCTTGATGTCTACAGGTTCTACATCATCTGCTTGATCCAAGTCAACATGTCTCCATTTCGATTGTTTTACTTCCTCTCATAAAGGAATATTTTTCTAGACTCTTGCTCATTGGCTGTTGCAGACCGGGAAGATAATAATTATATGGCGGATTCCTCTGCTCTCCTTAATTCCAATCCTGTGTGTCTTAAAAGCTTAAAAACCCTGACAAAAATGGTTGAATAAAAACAAAGAGAGTGATGGTACAGATCGCTCACCTCCGTGCGGGGGTTTACATTTGGACGTGAGGATGACAAAGCCGAAGCCCTCCGTGTCCTTGCGGTGGAGCGTGATGTCAAAAGACTCGTGGTCCAGGGCGCTGAGCATGGGTAGACGAGGTAGTTTGGGTGAACCATTAACTAGCACTGGAGCCATTTCCTGAACATCTTCCTCTGTGACATCTGGTGTGAAGACGACACAGGAGTCAATTGATAAGGTTGGTGATGTCTTCTTATTCTGCTTCAACCAAACAATGACTTGAACTTCTCTTTTTTCCACTTTACTTTCCACAAACATTCTATCATTCTGCTGCTCACCTCTGTAGATGACCTTCCTTCGAACAGTCAACATCACTTGACCGTTGCGGGCAGCGTTTGTCATGAGATCCAACACCTGTTTATGTGAACGGCCCTTCACTATCACCCCGTCGATGCCGATGAGCTCATCTCCTGCTCTCAGACGTCCGTCTTTCTCTGCTGCTCCGTTGGGCACGATGGCCCCGATGTAGACCTGGGGAAAGACATTCTGATAGAGGGTGAGACAGGTGTTGGGGGGAACAGGGTGTGAACCAACAGTGAAATGATTCAGATAATGTTTCAGACAGATGCCCTCCAACTGTATGACGCTAAATTGTGACTTTAACTTTGATTGTTTATTGTCATTTCAGTTGTTGTTTCCAAAGATGACGACGTATCTGTTGTGAAGTTTACAATAAAATGTCTCAGCTCCAAGAACTGAAGAAAACACAATCACATCATCACATGATACAATGCCACCAGTTTCCCTCAAGGTAAACATATCCAGTAACAGCAAATACAAATGCTTCAGTTACAATATGTTGAACCAGTATGAAAACACACACAGCAGTGTTTCATATGAACCACAACCATGGCAATTTTCTCTCAACTGTCTACCACACACTTCGTCACACACCGTCATATAACACATACAGTACTGTTCCATAGTCGAAGCCCAAAAGAACAATTATAAAACCATATTTACCATGTCTCTTACTGCACAGCTCAAAATTGGAATAAAAATTAAATTTTCTATTTACTTTGGAGATAACTGTGTTGTCTGCCGGGTGAGAGGAAATAAGGGAGGAAGGGAGGAAGTCATATGGAACAGCAGCCGCAGCTGTGTAACATTATTACACTTGATATATCTGCAAAAATAGATGTTATTCAGCAGCTCACAAATTACAGTACATGTCTGATTTCAGTTTTGTCTTTCAGTCCTATTTGTGCAGCATGTTGAAATTACGAGGAATCCGTACGGTAGATTTGTAGATTTGTAGTGTCCAATATTTCATGGGAATGAAGGCAAACCATCACGAAGTTCAATCACAGTGCAGGTCTAGTGTAATCGCAATTAATTAATCATAAATGAATGATGATTAATTACAGAATTCTAGTTACAATATGTTCCTTATAGAACCATATGCTACTTTAATAGAAAATATATGGCTTGGTTTTTCTGTTGATGTGATGCAGACATGTACTGCATGCTCCATATACACAACAAATTTCTGCAACATGGAGTACGGAGTACAAGCAGCACTGCAGTATTAAAAAGCATACAAATCAGAATATAAGGCGTGGCTTTATTACATGGAATATGGTACCTTAATAGAAAGGGTCTATCTAGCAGCATGAGTCTGGGCTGGACGAGCAAGACAAATGTGCCGCATGACTCAGTAATTTTAGTCATTTAAACCATGGAGACACATAAACAAAAAGTTTATTAAATACTTACTGGTTGTTGTGGACCTTCTCCCCCCAGAACACGGAAGCCAAAGCCAGTTTCAATGTCTCTCTTTAGAAAAATATCTATGTCTTTGGTGTGAGGCTCTGTGGAGGACAGTAAAAGGTCATAACTGATGGTTCAAGTTCAAGCACAACGGCGAGACTGGATTGAACGCAGCTGAGAGTTTGTCACTGTGTGGAGTCAACACTCACGTCTGCTCTCCAGCAGGGCTTTGGACTTCAGGTACAGCTCTGTGGCCTCACGTTTGGGGGAGTCGATGGAGCGCAGGGTGCTTGTGTTGGAGTGGTAAGGTAAGGCCTGGGGGGCGGAGTCAGCCACATCGTCCAAAGTCTCCGTACTGGCCATCATTTCTGGCCTCTGAACGCAGAGACACATTCGTTCATTTCACATATTGTTCAACATATTTAATCTTAGGCTTTTGTTCGATTTCTCCTCTCACATTTATTGGCGATTAACGTGGCTCATTAAACCCAGACGAGTGACTTAGCAGCTAATGGTGATAGACTACCAAAGCAGTTAAAGGCCGAGTCATTGACTCTTCTTTGTTGGACTTGTTTTCCCCTCACTTTTATTCCTCCTTTTGTCTTAAGAGCTGGGCGACAGCAAAGAAATGTGCTTTTTAATCTACAGGAAACACCAGCGACAAACATGATGGCTGTGACAGGCCCATTCAGGCTTAAAGGGCAACCTCTTTATCTCAAACCGTTACAGCAATAACAAGAGCCTCATATCTAAATAGGCTCATCCCTGCCTCATTACCAATGCAATCCCCTGACAATAGGCCCTAAGACTACAAATACTGAAAGAAAATAATTAAGGGCGTTTTTCAAAGAAAAACAAAAGGGGGCGCCCAGCAGCTCAATCAATATTCAAATGTATTATTATCATTTAATTTGCTGCAACCCAGGCTTAGCTTAAGCAGCAAGACAAAAAGCTTTGAAATGAACTTATGAATTAGTCCCCAGAGGAAACAGGAGATAATGTTTTTTTTTTACTCACAGGCTTTAGACTCTTCACAGGAGATGTCTGACCTGTGTGCAGATAGACAACAGGAATCTGGTTAGAATGCAGATGATTTTAAGACTCTAAGAAATATTGCAGAAGGATCGTCAAAACACCACCCACCGCCAGATGGCACTGTTTCTCCGACGTGAAACAAGTCATGAGGACAAACGGAGGAGCAGCACTTTACTCTGTAGTAGGCTGTAGTACACACTACACTGTGTTCCATTAGGGAACATGTATCTTTCATGCAATTAGACAGAGCTGATAAAGACCGACTGCACGTCCATACCGGACTGAGGAAGTGGTTGAGAGCATCTGTGATTCATGTACACACTTCACTAACCAATCACGTTCCAAGGCCTCTGTACATTCACACCCACACGTTCCTTCTGTCAGGCTTTCAGTCTTTAGACCATCTTCTTACATCCTGCCCCCCCCTTCTCTTTTCCTCCTCCCCCCTCACAACTTTCCACATTGACTGAATTAACAAACAGTCCTACGACAACCTTGATGGGGCGACTGGCCAGCACTTGGCCCGATGGGGGCGGGGTTAGTGAAGCTTGATGTAAAAGGGAGGTATGGAGCAGCATTTATTCACTGTACTGCAACATTTCCAGTCCGTATTGAAAACACACACACAAGGATTCCTATTTGGCTCCATTGTGTTTTTTTAGTGATAAAATGTGAAGCTTAACTGTCTGTATTTGACTGTGAGGTCACGCTGCATGTAACATTAAAATAGAGCTACAGTCGCGATCGGATAAGAGGGAGAGAGGGGAGAGGGTTGAGTCGTGGCCGTTGGGAGGAGTGCCCTGGAGTCCCCTCCATTATAGCTATTTAGGAATGAACGTTTAAACGGGCCACGAACATAAAGGCGTACAGAAATAATCTGCACTCTGCTGATGATCAAAGTCCATCCGTAGCTTATCCACTTACACGTTCCATCCCCAGGGCGGCGGCACAAGACGAGCGCAGAAGACATTTGAGGGGTTCTCACCATCCTTCCACAGACCCCAGCACATCACCACACTGATGTAGTTCTCTTCCTCTGAGGTATCACTGACTGTGTCGTACCCCAGTAGGAGACACAGTAAAGGTCTATGTGCTAGGTCTATGTTCCCACTGTAGGTCTTAATGTTAAAGTCCATTTTTCCCTATTGCTTCTGAGCATACGCTGCACCCCAGGATAGGGTTGATGGGTTGAATGCAGAGGACTAATTTCATCATGTGTGTATGTCTGTAGGACTGTGGGAAACATGGATGATACGAATGTCAGCGTGCATCAGTTTTTAATTATTCATCATTAGTCAGAGAGGCTCGAGGCTGGAGGCTCCATGCAGCCACAGCAGTCATGGGCATGTGGAGTGTAGACCTATGGGGCCAAGAACCCAGTCAGACCAATTCTCTACACTTGACTGCCGTCACTTTGAAAAGCATCAGATATGATGTTAATGTGTATATTTGTCTCATCTCTCTTGTCTCTTTGATTTGAAAAAAAAAAAAAAAAAGCCCAAACCAAAAAACAAAAGAAAAACACTTGTACTGTAGGGGCTGTTATTAAAAAATCAAAATGAACCCAGTCTTAGTCTGATCATGACTTGTGTTTCCTGGCCTATTCAACCAATCAGAAAGAGTCTCCAATGCTGATGTGGTGACCTTTGACACACCACAGATAAGGTGGCATCACCTACTGCTGTTACTAAACTGTGCCTGGTCAGACCTTGAGCCCACACCCAGCTGCTTCACCCTCCCACCTCCTGTCAACACCAACACCCTGAGCCCACCTCCCACCTCTGACACTATAAAGGTTGTATTCACAGTCATTTGCAGAATAATCTGGACTGTTTTGGTCCTGGATTTGGGTTTTTGCAAAAACAAATATCTTGAAAGTGTGCAATTAATTTGTGATTGTTCCTGTGTTGGCTAAATTAATTAATTAATACTGAATACTGATGTTTGAACCAAATGACTGGCACATATGATATAAATACATGTATAAAACATGTTACGTGTGTATATATGTTTATATATGTAACGTTATACATATATGAATATACTTATATATATAAATATATATATATATATAAAACCGTGTGTGTTTGTGTGTGTGTATATATATGGGTGTACTGTATACATTTTCTCACCTCCTCGCAGGACAAGCACATTAACCTCGCTGCCCACCGGAAAGTCTTTTAGGATGTCCACGACCTGAGCGTGACTCAGCGTCTGCACGTTCTGCCTGTTGATCTCCTTAATGATGTCTCCTTTCTGGAGTCCGCGGCACCACTGTGCGTCCAGGATCATCTTCACCTTTTGGCCCAGAGTGCAGTCGGCGATGGCGAACCCAAACCCTCCTGGCCCTTTGACCAGCGGCACACTCACCAGCTCTGGCTGCAGCATGTTCAGGGCCCGCTCCCCCCCCTGCCTCCCATTGGGCATGGCGGCCACGACGGGGCGGCCGCTGGAATCTGTAGTCACATAGTGAAGCTCCTGAGAGGAGCCGTGAAGGACGTCACCTTTCACCAGCAGCGGCTGCCCATTGATGAGGGGCACAGCTGTCACCACCTCTCCCCCGTGGAGGGCCTGCTGGGGCTGGACACTGGAGGGGAGAGGAGGGGGTGGGAGGGGGTCGTCGCTGTCCAAACCCACATCTGGGGGGAGCGGGGAGGCC